AGATACAAAGTGGACTGCCTTGCTCCGAAAAGATCGTGGCCTACCCATTTCCAAATTTGCACTCTATGTATCACCAATCAAGATCAAATCCCAATTTCCCACCACTCATCAGTCGTCCCAACCTAACCCTTCAGCTCATTTTCTCTGGACTTGATTGATTGATTCTAACTAAATATTCCCACTTTATTGATTTTGTTGTTTTGGCTTTTATAAAACCAAACCAAACGTTCTCTTTCTTCTCCGGCCAGTTCGTCCAAGTCTCAGCCGAAAAAAGAAGGAAGCTTTCTTTGGAAGAGAGAAAGGGTTTTTGGATTAATAAAAGATAGAAGAAAGAGTGAGGTCAAAGCTATTTTCTTTTCAAACTTTGTTGGGGTCACTGGTCAGGTGTCACCTAGCAGTTTGTTAGCACCAAGTTTTAGCACTGACCCAAAAAAATAAAAAACAAAAAAAATTTCCAAAACCATATTGGGGAAATGATTTTAACCAAGCAACGAGGTTTTACTTTTAGCATTTGGTGAGCCTCCTAACTCGGAAAACTCGGTGAGTCGATAGAGGTGAAGTGATGGTTCTCAATTAAAAAAAAACATTACTTTTAGATATTTATAGAAGGTGAGACTTTTCAACAACAAACCAGGACTTCATGGCCCAATGGATAAGGCGCTGGTCTACGGAACCAGAGATTCTGGGTTCGATCCCCAGTGAAGTCGATCTTGCTTTATTCAATTTTTCCTTTTCTCTTTTTTGGCTTACAAACGCGGCTTTTCGTTGATTGACGCATCATCTTCTGGCCCCACGTGGCAGACAGCTACTGCTACGCGGCAGTAGGCAAAAGGAAAACGCGGAGCCCAAATAAGGAAGGAGATGGATGGATATATACGGTGCCCCTACTTTTACAGCTCAGTCCTCAGCCATACACTGCGCCAGCCAGGACAGGAAGATTGCCTCAAAATTTAGGAAAAAAGTACGTGTAGCTCCTGGGATAGTGAAAACACGAACTGAGCTGAGGTAGCACATTGTAAGTTGTGTAAATTGTAACTTGTATTGCATGTGGACTGAGTAGTGTACGTGTACATTATCCCTGTCACTGCCACTGCCACTACCACTACCAAACATCATCATTGCCTTAATAATTAAAGACAAAAAATTATGGGCGGCACTCTTTTTTCTTTTTATTTTTATAATTTTTAATTTATTTATGCAAGCGATATTGAGGAACAAAATCAAACCTAGCATGAAAAAAATACTCTTATCCACTTGAATTATAATAAAAAAACCACCGTTACAACTTATACGTTGGTAATAAAATGGAGATTTCATGTCAATTCAATTCTATAAAAGGACCACGCTTCTCACTCTCTTTTATCATTGCCCTCTTACTCTTCTTACATACACACAATTAAGAGAGAGAGAGAGAGAGAGGGAGAGAGAATGGCGACTCTTAGAGTACCAGATGTGGTTCCTTCTCCAGTGGAAGATGCTGAACAACTCCGCAAGGCTTTTGAAGGTCTTTTACTGATCGCATCTTCTAAGACTCAGACTAAATTAATGCAATCATTCTAAATAGACTGACTTCTTTTTTCTTTTTCTTTTTTGGTGTTTTCTTTGGAGCAAATGAAATTTGATCATTTGGTGTTTGACATGACTTTGTTTTCTGATGTGGTTGATCATCTAAAGACCAAAGTTGGTTTGATCCGTCTGCTTCCATATTGTTCTACTTAGTAAATATGTGTTTTATGGGTTCTTATGTTAATGTGATAATGATCAGGATGTGTTTCTTTCTCTGTGATCTTTTCTTTCAATTAGTAAGTTAGCATCAGTTTTGCTGAATCAATCTTTAGATCTAGATCTTTCTAATGATTGTCTTGTTGAGCCAGTTTGAGGTTCAACTATTGACTAGCAAGTATTTGATGTCTTTCTTATAATCTGATATGGTTGATCATCTAAAGTTTGATCTGCTTTCATGTTCTCTTACTTTGTAAGTATCTGTTTTCTGGGTTCTTTTGTAAGTACTTGTTTCTCTCTCTTTGATTTTAAATTTCTTGGGATCATTTTTGTTGGATCAGAGTATTAGATCTACATCTTTTTTAAAATACTTTAACCAATTTTTTTATAAAATTTTAATCTTGACTAGTTCATGCTTTCTTTTATATGGAATTTGCATAAAACTCCATTTACTTGAAAGGGATCATCAATGAAAACAGAGTTGGGAGAACAGAAGATGATGAAGAAAACTGATGCTTGATGTCATAGACCAATTTGAATACTTGGCATCTAGCTGCACATTGAGGCATTTAACCAAAACTGCTCATATTAATTAGGGATAGAGGTTGAAGATTTGTTGCATTATCAAGGCACTTTTATGGTTGTATTCTGAATCATCAACTTGATTTTCGTAATCTGCGTGCAGGATGGGGGACAAATGAGGCGTTGATCATATCGATATTGACTCACAGGAATGCAGCTCAGAGAAAATTAATTCAGCAGGCATATGCAGAAACTTATGGGGAAGAGCTGCTTAAGTCACTGGACAAAGAGCTCTCAAGTGAATTTGAGGTCAGATTTGGATGCATTATATCTCTCAGTTGAATACTGGTTTTACTTTTAATTTTGTTTTCAAAGGTTTACTGCTTGAATTTCCTATTTTGCTGCATAACCAGAGGGCTGTGCTGCTGTGGACACTGGTCCCTGCTGAGCGTGATGCATTTTTGGCTAATGAAGCTACAAAGAGGTTCACTTCAAGCAACAAAGTGCTCTTGGAAATAGCTACTACTAGGTCTTCCCATGACCTGTTGCTGGTAAAGCAGGCGTATCATGTGCGTTACAAGAAATCCCTTGAAGAAGATGTTGCATACCATACATCTGGAGACTTGCGCAAGGTACAAACCTTCAACCTCCAAACTCATTCGTAATCTGATTATGCTCTCAAATGTCAAGTTGGCTAGTTGAAACCGTATAGTCTTGATCTTCTATTGTGTCCAATTTCTTGTATTGAATTGGAAGTAATTTGTTCAAGCAGCTTCAACTATATTGCTGCCTAGAATTTCTTTTTTCTTCCTTTTGCTCTGATTGTTGACTCTGTCACAGCTTTTGGTTCCTCTTTTGAGCACTTACCGATACGAGGGAGATGAGATCAGCGTGCCCTTGGCAAAGAAAGAGGCTAAGATACTTCATGAGAAAATCTCAGACAAAGCCTACAATGATGAGGAGCTCATCAGGATCCTCTCTACCAGGAGTAAAGCACAGCTGAATGCAACCTTGAATCACTACAACAATGAGTTTGGCAATGCCATTAACAAGGATTTTAAGGCTGATAAAGACGATGAGTTCCTCCTGTTACTGAGGCAAACAATTAAAAGCTTGACCGTCCCTGAAAAATACTTTGAGAAGGTTCTGCGCCTGGCTATCAACAAGCTCGGGACGGACGAAGGGGCTCTTACTAGGGTTGTCACCACCCGGGCGGAGGTTGACTTGCATCGCATTAAACAAGAATATCATCGCAGGAACAGTGTTCCTTTGGACCAAGCAATTGTCAAAGACACTTCTGGAGACTATGAGACGTTTCTCGTGGAACTGGTTGGACATGGAGATGCTTGAATCCCACAATGTTTTCTTCCGTGAGTTGTTATCTTTCCTTCATTGGTTGCTGCTTCTTCTTTTCTGGTTTTGTGTGGACTTTGTTCAATAAATCTTGCTAGTGCGGTGAGTAAAGATTATGGATGGACTTATTTTATATAATTTATGTGCATCTTCTTTTGTATTTTTGCTAAAGGAGTTGTGTTTTGTGTTCTATTATATATATGATAATGTTGTGTTTTATTTAATCTGATACAATCATATTAGATGTTTAAATGCAATTTAATCCAATCGAATTAATATTGGATTGGATTGGATTGGATGATCAGTTTAATGAAAAAGGACAATAATAAAATATTAAATATTTATTCTTAAGTTTAATCTAATCAAACATATTCATAAATGTAAATGTAAAATATAAATAAAATACCATAAAAAATTGTTTTGATTATATAATATATTAAATATTACTTCATTACGTGCCCGTTTGGTATTGCTTATTTGGGGTGATAAGTGATTTTTTAAAAAATTTGAGAAGTCCAGTCCGTTTGGTAAACTATGAGAAAATTATTTATTGTTAAAAATTGTTGTGAGAGAAAGCTATAAGGGAAAGCAACTAATGAGGTGTTTTCATTTTCTGATTATGCAAGAATCAGTTTCGAAGAGGCATTGAGTTTAATGATTATGCGAGAATCATTTTTTGATTATATGGGAATCAGTACGAACAACACTTTTAATAAAAAATTTACCAAACGCCAAACTGCTTTATCTCATAGTAAATCTGACAGCTATTATTTTCACGGCACAGCAATGCCAAATTGGCCCTAAATAACTTAAAATGTTCATATTTTTTCAACTATAAATACCTACAAGAGCAAAATAAACTTAAAACTAACTAGATATGATTGGATTGGATTCTCATAAGTAAATTAGTCATCTGATCCAATCATGTCGGTTTTGAAAATTACGAATCGAATTCAATCCGCCAAATCATCAAAACTGATTGAAATTGAATTGGATTGGATTAAATCGGTTAATTTGGATGAATTGGATTGAATCTTGTACACTCCTAAACCAATCTAGAACACGAGAAATGACAAATCTCAAAAAACTAAAATCGGACATGGCATTTAAAAAATAAATAAATTTATAATAATATCTATATATATTAATAAAAATAAAATATTAATGTTTATACTCCAATTTCATATACCATATATAGTTTATTAATTCAAAGCTTTCCATGTAATTTATTATATCTGTATATATATATATATATATATATATATATATATAATTTGTCCTTACATGCTAGGTTAAATAAATAACCTCACGACCAAAATGAATGGCTTTTTGGGCCAAATTGGTCAAAACCGCATGCATGTTAAAAAATAAAAAAAGGAGGCCAGCTAGGTGGCCTTGCAATGTTGGCGAAAAAAAAGTATTGAACACCGAACCTAAGCTCAGTCGCGCGAAGAAGGTTCAAAAACGAGGTTGCAGAAGGAGGTGAACCATTTTGGGTGGCCGATCGACGAATTGAAGGTGTTGATGGATTCGGACAATGCAGATGTGAAGAATCTGATTGAGGAATTTGGGAACGATTTGCATCTGATTTGAAGAATCGGATTCAGGAAGCTGATGAAATCTGGGAATTGTAAGGTAAGAAAATTACGCACCATCAAAGTAGGCATTGTCTTCTTCGCCAGGTTGTAATTTCAGATTAATTGTCACACATTTTGCTTGTGATTTTCTCAAGCAAACCTGAGTTTGTACTTCCTGCTTAAAAATCATGTTCTATCTTTTTTCTTTTTCCCCAATTTCACTGTTATATATGTGTTTGTTTAACTTTTAAAATGTCTCCTAGATACACCCATCTGGATAGGATTAATTCCTGGAAAAAAAAAGTAAAAGAAAGAGAACAGAAGATGTGAAGAACTTACTCATTTTAGTTTCGTATAAAAAGGAACACCATTTCTATTTTGGTATAGAGCCTCCTGTATTTTACTACTGGCACTGACCACGATTTCTTACTAAGCTCTGTAGCTTGCATTTTTCTGTAAATAATTTAGAAATTGAATTTGTTTTGTTAAATGCCAGACCAAATATACTTTGCTGCAATTGATTTGTTGCTTCCATGAGATTCTGAATTATATATCCTATGTTTTTCATTGTTTCGAACTTTATGTTTATCAGTTACCGCGTATCGAAAAAATTAACCCCATATTTGTTGGCAACCGCAGTTGCCTTATAGCTTACATATTGTTTTCTAACATTTCAGTGTAATGAAGAATAGTGAGAGTGTAGACCACTGATGGCCAAAGAATAGAGAAGCTACTATAGTCTATAATATCTTCTTACAAACTATATAACATTGTTCTTCTAAGACATCAACTCCTTGCTTCTTTCTATGTTAAACCATCTCCACCATGCACTAAGGCACTTTCATTTGGTTCCGCTACTCTCATGCAGAAAACATTATTACACTCCAAGCCAGATCTTGTCTTTCTCTACCACCACAACGCCGTGCACACATGCCTCACCAACTTACCCTCATACCGACCTCCTCACACTCAGCTCCAATGTCCAAACCCTTCACCAAACCAAGCAAGTCCATGCTTCTGCTCTCCTCAATGGTTTACTTCCCCACAGTGTCTCTCTCTGCGCCTCCCTCATGCTCAGTTACGCCACTTTCAAATGCCCGGAAACCTCTCACCATCTCTTCGAACAAACAGTTCATCGTTGTTGCACTGCATTCTTGTGGAACAGCCTCATACGGGCTTATTCCATTGCTCAAGTTAATGATAATTTTCAGACTTACAATCGAATGGTTCGAAGCGGTGTTGGACTCGATGATCATACTTTTCCTTTCGTTCTCAAAGCATGTTCAGACCTTTTGGAGGTAAAAAAAGGGATGGAGATTCATGGGGTTGTGTTTAAAGTGGGCTTTGATTTTGATGTTTTCGTTGGAAATACACTTTTAATGTTATATGGTAGTTGTGGGGATATGAGAGATGCAAAGAGGGTGTTTGATGAAATGCGTGAAAGGGATGTTGTCTCATGGAATACGATTATTGGAGTGTTTACAGCCAATGGGTTTTTCGTGCAGGCACTTCATTATTATAGAGAGATGAATTTGGGAATTGGGTTTAAGCCAAATCTTGTTAGTGTCATTAGTGTGTTGCCGGTTTGTGCAGAGTTGGAAGATGAGCGGATGGCAATCCAGATTCATTGCTATGTTGTGAAGGCCGGTTTGGATCTTCTGGTCACTACTGGAAATGCATTGGTTGATGTGTATGGGAAATGTGGGAATGTGAACGCTTCAAAACAAGTTTTTGGTGAGATGATTCAGAAGAATGAGGTTTCTTGGAATGCTGCTATCACTAGTCTCTCTTACATGGGGCATAACATGGAAGCCTTGGCTACATTTAGATGGATGATTGATGTAGGGGTGAAACCAAACTCTGTCACAATTTCTAGCATGCTACCAGTGTTGGTTGAACTTGCATTTTTTAGAGTTGGCAAAGAACTCCATGGTTTCAGTATAAGAATGGGTATTGAATCGGATGTCTTCATTGCCAACTCACTAATTGATATGTATGCAAAATCAGGCCGTTCAAATGTGGCATCCAATGTTTTCCAAGAGATGGATAAAAGGAATATTGTTTCCTGGAATGCTATGATTGCTAATTTTGGTCAAAACAGGCTTGAGTTGGAAGCCATTGGACTTGTGAGACAAATGCAAGGTCATGGTGAAATTCCCAACTCTGTCACCTTCACAAATCTTCTTCCAGCGTGTACTCGGTTGGGTTCCCTTCGTCATGGAAAAGAAATCCATGCAAGGACAGTCCGCATGCTATATGCCTCCGATTTGTTTGTCTCCAATGCTCTGACAGACATGTACGCAAAATGTGGCCGGCTAGATGTTGCTCGGAATGTATTTAACATCTCCCTTAGGGATGAGGTGTCTTATAATATACTAATAATTGGCTATTCTCAAACTATGGATTGCTTAGAGTCTCTGAATTTGTTTTCTGAAATGAAGCTTGTGGGAATGATTCATGACATTGTTTCCTTTGTGGGAGTTTTAACTGCTTGTGCAAATGTAACTGCAATCAAGCAAGGCAAAGAGATTCATGGGTCGTTAGTAAGAAAGCTTTTCCATACTCATCTATTTGTTGCAAACTCACTTTTGGATTTTTATACCAAATGTGGACGAATTGATCTTGCTGCTAAGGTCTTTGACCGCATTCCAAGCAAGGATGTAGCCTCTTGGAATACTATGATTTTGGGGTATGGAATGCTAGGTGAGCTTAACACTGCAATCAGTCTTTTTGAAGCAATGAGGGAAGACGGTGTAGAATATGATTCAGTTTCCTATATTGCAGTTTTGTCATCTTGTAGTCATGGAGGGCTGGTTGAGAAGGGGAAAAAATATTTTGAGGGAATGCAGGCACTGAATATAGAGCCGACAGAAAAGCACTATGCTTGCATGGTTGATCTCCTTGGCCGAGCTGGCCTTATGGAAGAAGCAGTAGAGCTTATTAAAGGCATGCCCACTGTACCAGATGCCAATATTTGGGGTGCCTTGCTTGGAGCATGCCGAATCCATGGGAACGTAGAGTTGGCTAGTTGGGCAGCAGACCATTTGTTCAGGTTGAACCCTGAGCATTGTGGGTACTATATACTTCTTTCAAACATGTATGCAGAAGCAGGGAGATGGGATGAGGTAAACAGGGTGAGGGAACTGATGAAATCAAGAGGAGTGAAGAAGAACCGTGCTTGCAGTTGGGTTCAGGTTCAGGACCAGGTGCATGCTTTTGTAGTTGGAGAGACTCTGGAGACATTAAATTCAGATAGTTGGATCGCAGAATCTTAATATGTTTTTGACATTCAAATTAAAGTTTGACGGATTGTGCTGAGAGGATAGCAATTTAAACTTTCAAAAAGGAGTTCAATTCCATCCAATGGATATTGGCAGATTGAAGGTGCTTCATCAGCTCCACCTCAAAAAATCAACATCCAAAATTTTGTGGGATCACACACTTAAGAGACAGAGAGAGAAAGAATGGCGACTCTTAGAGTACCATATGTGGTTCCTTCTCCAGTGGAAGATGCTGAACAACTTCGGAAAGCTTTTGAAGGTCTTTCACTGATCACATCTTCTAAGACTCAGACTAAATTAACGCAATCATTCTAAATAGACTGGCTTTTTTCTTTTGGTGTTTTCTTTGGAGCAAATGAAATTTGATAATTTGGTGTTTGACATGACTTTGTTTTCTGATGTGGCTGATCATCTAAAGTTAGTTTGATCCATCTGCTTCCATATTGTTCTACTTTGTAAGTATGTGTTCTATGGGTTCTTATAATGTGATAATGAACAGGATGTGTTTCTTTCTCTGTGATTTTTTCTTCAATTAGTAAGTTAGAATCAGTTTTGTTGAATGAAAGTTTAGATCTAGATCTGTTGAATGATTATCTTGTTGAGCCAGTTAGAAATTCACTATTGACTAGCAAGTATTTGATTTTTAACATGTCTTCTTATAATCTGATATGTTTGATCATCTAAAGTTTGATCTGCTTTCATGTTCTCTTACTTTGTATGTATCTGTTTTCTGGGTTTTTTTTAAAGTATTTGTTTCCTTCTCTTTGATTATTGTTTGAATTTCTTGGGATCATTTTTGTTGGATCAGAGTATTAGATCTATATATATTTGTTAAATTATCTTCTTGTGTCAGTTTGAGTTTCACCATTGACTAGCAAAAATTAACAAATACTTCAACTAATATTCTTGTTTATTTACTCCAATCATTATGAGCAATTACAAGGCCTTGGTGCTAAAGTAAACTACTTTAATCTTGACTAGTTCATGCGCTCTGGAATTTATTGCTAATATAAAAGAGACAAGACCTGGTAGTTGAAATCCTTATCTGATTCGTTGACATCCATCCTAAAGCTTTTCATTAGGTCCAATTCTTTTATATGGAATTTGCACAAAATTCCATTTACATGAAAGGGGTCATCAATGAAAAAGAGTTGGGAGAACATAAGATGAAGAAGAAAACCAATGCTTGATGTCATAGAGCAATTTGAATACTTGGCATCTAGCTGCACATTGAGGCATTTAACCAAAACTTCTCATATTAGGGATAGAGGTTGAAGATTTGTTGCATCAAGGCACTTTTATGGTTATCTTCTGTATTATCAACTTGATTTTTGTAATTTGTGTGCAGGATGGGGGACAAATGAGGCGTTGATCATATCGATATTGACTCACAGGAATGCAGCTCAGAGAAAATTAATTCAGCAGACATGCAGAAATTTATGGGGAAGAAGTCACTGGACAAAGATTGAAGATTTGTTGCATCAAGGCACTTTTATGGTTATCTTCTGTATTATCAACTTGATTTTTGTAATTTGTGTGCAGGATGGGTGACAAATGAGGTGTTGATCATATCGATATTGACTCACAGGAATGCAGCTCAGAGAAAATTAATTCAGCAGACATGCAGAAATTTATGAGGAAGAAGTCACTGGACAAAGAGCTCTCAAGTGTTTTTGAGGTCAGATTTAGATGCATTATATCTTTCAGTTGAATACTGGTTTGGTTTTACTTTGAATTTTGTTTTCAAAGGTTTACTGCGAGAATTTCCTATTTTGCTGCATAATCAGAGGGCTGTGCTGCTGTGGACACTGGTCCCTGCTGAGCGTGATGCATTTTTAGCTAATGAAGCTACAAAGAGGTTCAGTTCAAGCAATAAATTGCTCTTGGAAATAGCTACTACTAGGTCTTCTCATGATCTGTTGCTGGTAAAGCAGGCGTATCATGTGCGTTACAAGAAATCCCTTGAAGAAGATGTTGCATACCATACATCTGGAGACTTGCTCAAGGTACAAACCTTCAACCTCCAAACTCATTCTTAATCTGATTGGGCTCTCAAATGTCAAGTTGGCTAGTTGAAACCGTATCTTCTTGATCTTGTATTGGTATCCAATTTCTTGAATTGAATTGGAAGTGCTTTGTTCAAACATTTTCAACTACATTGCTGCCTAGATATTCTTTTTTCTTGCTTTGCCCTGATTGTTGACTCTGTCATAGCTTTTGGTTCCTCTTTTGAGCACTTACCAATACGAGGGAGATGAGATCAGCGTGCTCTTGGCAAAGAAAGAGGCTAAGATACTTCATGAGAAAATCTCAGACAAAGCCTATGATGATGTGGAGCTCATCAGGATCCTCTCTACCAGGAGTAAAGCACAGCTGAATGCAACCTTGAATCACTACAACAATGAGTTTGGCAATGCCATTAACAAGGATTTGAAGGCTGATAAAGACGATGAGCTCCTCCTGTTACTGAGGCAAACAATTACAAGCTTGACTGTCCCTGAAAAAAACTTTGAGAAGGTTCTGTGCCTGGCTATCAACAAGCTTGGGACTGACGAAGGGGCTCTTACTAGGGTTGTTACCACCCGTGCAGAGGTTGACTTGCATAGCTTTAAACAAGAATACCATCGCAGGATCAGTGTTCCTTTGGACCAAGCAATTGTCAAAGACACTTCTGGAGACTATGAGAAGTTTCTTGTGTAACTGGTTGGACATGGTGATTCTTGAATCCCACAATGATTTATTCCATGAGTTGTTATCTTTCCTTCATTGGATTCTTCTTCATTTTATGGTTTTGTGTGACTTTGTTCAATAAATCTTGCTAGTGCTTGTGAGTAAAGTATGGATGGACTTATTTTATATAATTTTTGCATCTTCTTTTGTGTTTTTGCAAAAGGAGTTGTTTTTGGCAAAAGGAGTTGTTCTTGTGTTCTTTACATGATAATGTTGGACTTCTTTTTTTACCTTCTTTTTCCTTTTCATATTTGATTTTGCTTAAATTACACCTTTTGACCAAGTGAACAAGAAGCTCTCTCAAGTGGCCTCTATGGTAAATGCTTTCTTTCTTAACCCTGCATTGAGGTTAAGGTGCAAAACCAAAATCTCTTTCAAAAACTAGCACCTTAGGCATTGAGGTTGGGTTGAAGCCATGAAACATCATCAATGATGAAGATAACATCCTGGCTCATAACAATGTCTTGAGTCTTGACACAACCTGATGCTGCTCTGAGCTTTTCAAGCACAATAATATTCTCAATTAAACCACTCTCTGAGAAGATAACAGCACCCATGGTTGGTGCACAGCTATGTGTGGAAACTGCTGAGGTTTTCAATCTTTTTTTAATCCTCATTTTCGTTTCATTCACCAGCTCTACATAACCACACACGCATCACACTCCAATCCCAAAACCCAGATCTAGGACCTCTCAACTTTGACCAAACAGCTCAACTTTGGCGTTCAACCTTGGACCTAGTCCAAATTCCGGGACCCTTGAAACGGCATTGGGACCTCTATACCCTAAATTCACCTCTAGTTCATTCCAACTCCAAAAAAAATCTAGAGACTTTATAACATGCACTTTCATTCAATAAGCTCAAAAATGAAATTATGATATGAGACTCACCACCTTGAGCAAGTGGCCCACTTTGTTACCCATCAAGGACACTGCAATGACTTTCAAATTCACGCATATGACACTGGCATGTTTACTAATCCGTAATCGGATTAGGAGGAATTGAATTGAGGATGAATTAAATTGAGGAGGAGTTGGATTGAGAAGAATTAGATTCTTGATTCCTATTGAAGTTGTTTATTAAATCATATAAATTGAGAAGAGTCAGATTCCGAATTCCTATTGAAGTTGTTTACTAATCATATGGAATTGGGATAGGAGTGGCATTAATTGCTAAAATGTTTTTGTTGTTGGGTTAAAATAGGTGACACATTTTAAAATTTTAAAATTGTGTGAGGATATAATGGGTAAAAAAAATGAATTCCAAATGAGTTAATTCTCCATGAATTAGAATATCACCTCCCACCCAAAAAGAATTGAATTCATGTGAAGTAAACAAATGAATTCTCATAATTGGATTCAATTCCTAATTCGAATTCCAATTCCTGATTAGTAAACATACCAAAGGATAACAAAAACTAAAAACTAAACAATTTATAAATAAAAAATTATTTGGAAACTGAGAATAGTTACCAAACAAGTTTCTTGGTTTCAACTTTTTACAAATGCACTAAAATGGTTATCAAAAGGGACCTAATTTACTGAGATATCTCTTATTCACCTTTTTCAACCAATATCAAAATCTTCAGACCAAAAAATAAAATTGGAGTGGGGAAATCACCACTCAAAAATAAAATCCATTTCAAAATCAAGATTTGATCCAGATTTTTCTTGGCATCAAAGGACCACAAAGATAGAAGAAAAGTGCAAGTTCCCTAAATTATCATCTAATTTATAAATAAAATGGGTGCTGGAACAAAGTAAACACAAACTTGAAACAACCAAGCTACATAAACATGTTTGTAATAACCCAACTAGCCGAACCTCCTGCATTTTTCTGACTACATTTCATGCCCTAACGATGTATATAAATGTATGGCTACCACTCAGTCTCACACCCACCACTTCAGAACCCAAAATGGCAAGAAGGGTTTAAATGTCAGAACACAGAGTTCACACTAGGATATGACGCGACCAACTTTTATTTGATGATAAAGCAGAGTAAACAAGTCAGAGATTATGAGTTACACCAAGGCAATGCTGCTCTCTCCACCAGGGGGCTTGCGAACACCACCCAGATAGTCTCTGGATGATGCCTTTCCATCAGCAAAGATGTTGCTACCATTCATCTCTCTCAGCTTAGCTGTGCTGAGGGGCTTTTCAGCAGATCCTGGAGGAACATCTCCCTTAAATATATTATTTCCTGTCAGCTCAGCAAACTTCTGGTTATGTATTTTCCTTGAAGTCTTGACAACAGGTTCCTCACTGAACATGATATTACTCTGACCTCCAGCAGGCTGCGTTACAGAAATGAAGTTCAATACTAAATTTAAGGAAAATGTTAATAATGTTAATTTGCCGATTAGCCTAGCATTATTCGGCAGAGTAATATCAACTTCGATTACATGAAAATGTTCACCAGTAGGCTATCACTTCGAACCATTGATCTAATGGATTCTTGTTAGGCCGCCCGGTCCAAATTAACGGTTTGACAAACTAACATGCCAGGCTATTTGACAAAATTGTTTGAAAGTGATCCAGATTGAGAATCTAACAATATAACATATGAAAGGAGAACGGAGAACACTCAATTGCATAGCTCAATACTATAATTATGGAAGTCTGATTTAGTTTTGTAATCTCTAATTATCCAAACTTTGTTTGAAAGTGATCCAGATTGAGAATCTAACAATATAACATATGAAAGGAGAACGGAGAACACTCAATTGCATAGCTCAAACTATAATTATGGAAGTCTGATTTAGTTTTGTAATCTCTAATTATCCAAACCATCATAACTGGACCTGCAACATGAAGACATGAATGAAGAAAATTCATCCAAAGAAATAATAAACTCACATTTGAAACTTTGACAGACGTGCGTAGATTTCGGGGTGCAGGTTCCCCCATTTCTCTGGTTTCTCTAGTTTCCAGGGTGTGCACGGCAGCCACAGATCGAGGCACAGTTTCAGGAGGAGGACCAAAGATGTCATTTCCAGTGAGCTCCTTGGACTTGGCATTTGATATATGCTTGTTGGATTTCGAATCCGAGTCTGATTGCAATGTCCCACTCAATTCACGCTGCTTTGCAACCTCAGGAATGGTGATCGGCTTCTTGGGTGTGACATGTTCATCAACACTGAATGATATTTGACTAACTCCATTGAGTGCTTGCTGGTAAATACGAAGCCCTGTTTTGTTACTAGCATCATTAGATTCTGGTGCAGCATTGTTGCCTGAACCAGCAGCAAATATGCCATTACCAGTAATCTCCTTCAATTTATAGCCTGAACAAGGCTTCCTGAATCACATTTCATCTGAGTTTTAGATGTACAAATCTTAATCAATAACCCTGTAGTTAAAAAAAAGTACTGATCTTTTTTATAAATAATTTCTGGATCTAAGATGGGTAAACTTGGGAATTTGAAAAACAAATTTTGGGTTGCAAAATTTGCAATGCATGTATTTATAGACATGCTAAATTAAGAACACATGAACACTGAATAATCAAAGTCAACATTTTTCTTATCAGAAAAACAGAAAGCTTGTAGCTTTGGTTGAGCAGCTTGCACAGGCTATATGGGGTCTTTGCAGAAATTCTTAGCAATGAAACATGCATTACTAGATCTGGCTTCACAAAACAGATCTTACTGTTTGTTGAGGCTCTGAGCTTCTTCATCAGTGATCTGACCTCCATGGAGCACCTTGCTGATTCCATCTGACGGCTGAAAATATTCCACGTAAGCTTCCTTAATTTGCCAAGAAAGAAAAAGAAAGACAAAAAATTGACTGAAAAAGTGTTTTCAAGTGAAAGTGGTAACCTGATGAGAGCGGTGACCGGAGGGGGCGGTGGCGGGAGAGTCGGACTGTGGGACCTCTTTCCACGTCAGCATATCGGGAGTGTCTCTGCGAGGCTTCCTCACTGGTGTGCTTCTCTCCATTGTTAGTCTCTCTGTGCTCTCTGTCTTCTGTTTTGTGCTTTCTTTTTCTTTCTTCTTTGGATTGGTTTTGAGATAATTTTTTAAATTTTGAATGAACGAGGAAATAAATAAATAGTAAAGTAAAATCCCATATTGTCATTTTCGAAACAAAGAGAAGACCCACTAGGTTTATAGAATACGTATTGCAGTAATCTACGGTTAATATACGTATACACTACATGGGGGGGTCCATCCCCTGGAGCAATGACATTGACTTCAGTTGAACTTGCTCCATGGACTCGTTTGGAATTACTTCTAAAAAGATTACAAATACTTTCTCTTTTTTCGGTTGAGAAATTTTGAGATTGAATTCTTAATTTAGCCAAAATACTCCCGAATGAGCTTTACCATTTGGGTCGGGCTGAACTAGCTCAAATGCATGCACTAGAGACTCTGGATTGCATTAAGCACATTTTTCCCAATTTGGTCATTATTTTGCCCTAATTTTCTTTTTCGCGAATTTGGATTGATTTAGTTTCTGAAAAGATCACCCCCAATAAAAAGGATCGAGACTGGCCCAAAGTTCCAAACCAAATCGAAATACTCCCGAATGAGCTTTACCATTTGGGTCGGGCTGAACTAGCTCAAATGCATGCACTAGAGACTCTGGATTGCATTAAGGACATTTTTCCCAATTTGGTCATTATTTTGCCCTAATTTTCTTTTTCGCGAATTTGGATTGATTAGTTTCTGAAAAGATCACCCCCAATAAAAAGGATCGAGACTGGCCCAAAGTTCCAAACCAAACCGAAACTTCCACTAGTCGTTTTGGACTGGGTTGGATTCTCAATTTATGTTTTGGGCTTTGTAAACTTTTCTTTTAGCAGCTTTGTTGTGTTTTTGTTTGATTCCGTCTCTTCTCTTCCATCTAAACGCACTGTTAAGTTTTTTCTCTTTTCTTCCCGGATGAACGAACGCAGATGTACAGCTGACTGTAAAATCGAAAATTCATTTTAGACCCAAACCCACAGATGCCACAACTTTGAGCAAAAACTCACTTCTCATGGCTGTTCTAGTTTCATTGACTGGCGAGACCCAGTTCATTCACAGTCTCTGTGCAGTTGTCGTAAAGGGTCATTGGAACAACATCTTGAAACCCAAGATTGGTTCTAGCCTCAGCTCAGCAAACATTCATCAGGTACTTCTGCAACTCTCACTCCATGGCTATGGCCCTTCTCCTTCTTGGGCTTTCTTCAAATGGGTTGAATCAATTCCCACTTACAAGCACTCCTTGCAATGCTACTGGACCATGATTCACATTCTCACTGAGCACAAACACTTCAAACCTGCACAGCAACTGCTTGAAAAAATTGCTCTTAAGGATTTCTTGTCATCACCGATGGTTTTGAATGCTTTAGTTCCAATCCAAGATGACCCAGAAGTGAATTCACATGTTTTGAGCTGGCTTGTGATATTTTATGCAAATTCTAAGATGAACCAAGATGCAATTCAGGTTTTTGAGCACATGAGGGTACATGGGTTTAAGCCCCACTTGCATGCTTGTTCTGCCTTGTTGAACTCTTTGGTTAAAGATAGGTTGACCAATATGGTATGGAAAGTTTACAAGAATATGATCCAGGCCGGGGTTGTGCCGAATGTTCACATATACAATGTGTTGATTCATGCTTGCTGCAAATCTGGGGATACAGAGAAGGCAGACAGTTTGGTTGGTGAGATGGAATTGAAGTGCATCTTTCCTGATCTTTTCACATATAATACGTTGATATCTCTGTATTCCAAAAGGGGTATGCACTATGAAGCTTTGTCTGTTCAAGATAGAATGGAAAGAGCAGGAGTTAGTCCCGATATGGTGACTTACAATTCTCTTATTTATGCATTTTGTAGAGAAGGTAGGATGAGAGAAGCTGTAAAACTTTTCCGCGAAATCAAAGGTGCTACTCCTAACCATGTTACATACACGACATTAATTGATGGCTATTGTAGAGTTCATGACCTGGAAGAAGCTTTAAGATTGTGCGAGGTAATGAAGGCCAAGGGGTTGTATCCTGGAGTTGTTACTTATAATTCAATTCTCCGCAAGTTGTGCGAAGATGGCAGGATGCGGGATGCAAATAAACTTTTGAATGAGATGAGTGAAAGGAAAGTCGAACCTGACAATGTCACATGTAACACATTGGTTAATGCTTATTCTAAGATAGGAGATATGAGGTCTGCTGTGAAAGTGAAAGACAGAATGTTGGCAGCTGGATTGAAGCTGGATGAGTTTACATATAAAGCACTCATTCATGGATTTTGCAAGGTGCTAGAGATGGAAAGTGCTAAAGATCTTTTATTTAGCATGCTTGACGCTGGATTTTCCCCTAGTTATTGCACCTATACATGGATTGTAGATGGTTACTGCAACAAAGAGAATGAGGAAGCAGTTATACGACTGCCAGATGAGTTTGTTAAAAAAGGTATTTGTGTTGATGTCTCACTGTACAGGGCATTAATAAGAAGGTTATGTAAACGAGAAAGGGTGGATAGTGCTGAAAAGATTTTCAGTTTTATGGAAGAGAAGGGTATATCAGGAGACAGTGTTATATATACTAGTCTAGCATATGCTTACTTGAAAGCAGGAAAGTCAAGTGTAGTTTCAGTGATGTTAGATGAAATGTACAAGAGGAGGTTGATGGTCACACGCAAGATCTATAGATGTTTCAATGCATCTTATGCCAGTGATAATGACATCATACGTCTATTTTGGGATCATATGGTTGAGAGAGGCCTAATGTCAAAAAATGTTATTATTAAGGAAATGCAGCAAACGTAAATGAACGTCACAGATGTATCTTTTCATGCTATAGCACAAACCTCTCCGCCTGTCTTGAAAGGTGTTGGAGACTGTTATAGACCTGGGTAATTCAAATGCACATGCACTCCTGGAGAAGCTAAGAGACAATGGTAAGTGCTTTAACAGAGTAGTTTTGCTGGTAATTTCTGGTGTTTATGTTTTTCACTTGTTGATAACCGGGAAAGTTTAGTCATAAATTTTTTAGTGGGATTCCGATCAGATAACTATCTTGTAATGCTTGTTTATCTATTGGAATAACCCTACATGGTCTGGAGTAACTAGGCGGAAATACTGATTTTGCTTTTGGTTTGTCATGGCATGAACACCACTAAGCAGAGTGCTCTGGTCTACTATGGATTGGGTGTTTGAATTACTATCTAAGAGAAGCCATTTTGGGCTGTGGTTAGACTCCGTGGAAATGTACATCCTTGCATGAGTGTGGCAATTGGCTTGAAGTGTTGCAATGCATCGAGTTGAGGTGTAGGCTGAGCATCAAAGTATGAAGAATGGGTGCCTTCAACATCATATGTGACAAAGTGGATAGATGAATTGGGAATTGTACGGAAGTGCTGAACAGGACCAAGCCGTTTCAGAATCCATCATCTTGCAGGTTTAAAATGACATACGCGGCTTCTGGTTTGGCATGTGTGAAGCACAAGCTATAAATCCTAGCTACATGGTGCAGCGTTTATAGGTTATTGAAATTTCTGTATCTTTTTACTCATTAGATAATATATAGAAAGGAAAGGGAAAAAAAAGTTAGAATTGGTAGCTTATGAACTGGGAAATGTTTAAGTCATTGTCCTTCTCATTACTGATATGCCAAACAAATAAATAGTGAATGGTTTCAAACAAACTGGTTATGGTTACAGTCTCTTTTGAGAGAAAATTTCCAGCAACATTTCAGTCCTAGAAGAAAGTGGGTCAGTGTGATACGAATAGGAAAACAAAAAGAAGTGAAAAAATTTGTCTGTTCTCTTTGTGCCTAAAAAGCCTCCAGGACAGCTGCTAGTGCAAATATTTCGTAATCTGAACAAGTGCAACCGTGACCATGACCCTTTTCACAACCACACTCATCCCACTTCTTCATCCTTCTGTTTCTCTGTCTTCTTTTCTCTAATTCCACATGGTCTGCTTGAACTCGAACCTTGATCCCTACTTGTAGTTTAGGTGGTTTGACGCCTTCAAGAGCATGCCCACTTGTTGAAACCACTGAGACCCACTGGTTCAACTCCATGTTTGGTGACTCAAGGACTTCCTTCCATTGAACCTCTGCCCTCCCCAAGAGTTGTGACCCCCCAATTCTGCCAAAAACCGGCACAGTGCTCCTCCAGCGGAGCTCGAAAACTATGCTTTCTTGCTTTAGGCAGCTGTCCATGGCATCTGTCTCGCTTCCAGAGCACTCCAACGAGATGGACTCGTTCCAAACATGGTTAGACTTGGCAGAGATTTCTCTAGTGTTGAGCCTAATTCTTCCCTTGTTTCCTGCTGAAATATAGTATCTAACAAACAGATTTCCTGTGGTCTTGAACTCAATGTTTTTGGCTTGTATGATCCTCAACTCACAGCTGAGAGAAGAAAACTGTGATGAACTCATTATGTATGTGTTTGAGAGTAGCTGTAGATAGATAGAGATAGAGGTAGAGAGAGAAAGAGAGAGGATTGATGGATTCTTTGGTGAAGAGAAGTAATGTGGCTGGTTGGTTATATATAGTGATATTGGAAGGAAGGTGGAATTGCTTTTTGAGGAAGCTGCTTTTATCCATTAAATTACTAGTGTGATTAGAGTATATTATGATGAGTGAGCAAGATCAGAATGGTATTATTATAGTGTTATATGGTTCATATTGGGGGATCAATGAGAGATTGAGTGGAAGATTTTGATGACTTATTATACGCCCCTTGAGATTCTCCAAGAGCTGGATATATTCATAAAAACGACCCTTGCAAGTTGAAACACTAGTGTTGGCCTACAGTGCATATAAATTATGGAGTGCTATGTGGGTTGTTCTTCCACTGCAAGATCCTTTTAATATCTTGGACGGATCTTGCAATTTACAACAACAACAACAAAAAAAGAAAAAAAAAGAAAAGAAGAATCAGCTAAGTTATCTTATTATGGTGATTATTTCAGCCAAATTAAAAGCATTGTGCTAGTCTGTTTATCTAATTTCTGATTTCGGCTAGTGGAGTATAGCTCAATTGGTTGAGCTCTTTCACCTTCACCTATAAGAGCTCTTTAACCCCCTACCCAGTCACTTTTACATCTATAT